CTACCTACCACCATAGTTCCCATTTCAACCCATTGCTCATTTCCCGTTTCCCCTTACTTTGCTCAAATTTGTACTTTTGTATTATATTTCCAAATTTCAACACATATACATTCTAAATGGTGTTTGCTAGTCATTATCTATTTTGTTTGTTTACTGATGTGGGTGGCTTAATCAATAAGAGACCCTTTTCTATTGGTTTTAGAGGTTGGAAAGCTGATCAGAGTGACAGTATGTTTGTTCTGATGAGGGCTCTGCTCAGGGTGGCAAATTACCCTCCGGTGGCAGAAAGAATGGCTTAACTCTCTTTCCAGGGGCACTCATTCTAACTACATTCAATGGTCCCTAACTCCTGATCCCAAAACACTGAGGTTAGATTTTCAACATGTGAATTGTAGGGAAGACACAAATACATTGTTCACAGCACCCGGTTATAATAGATAGAATACTGTCTTCATATATAATGGCCTACAACAGATTGGCACTTAGTAGCTGATCAGTACATATTGCCTTAATGGAGTCACAAACTTCTCTCTACAATCTACTGTTGGTTCCCTTTTCACTGCCAATAGCCTCATTCAGATTTCTTCTCATGGTAATTAGCAAATTAGCATGCTAATTGCACTTCCTATCTCTCTCCTTAATCTTTCTCCTATACTGTTGGCTGATTTTCTTCCTTAAACCCTGAAATTATCTTCTTATTATCCTTCTTAGAAAACTTCACTATAAGACTCAGTCAAACTTCTTTATACCTGATTTTAAGGCTCTTTACAGCATGGCTATCAACCACATCAAGCTTCATGTATCCAAATCTCAGGGCACTCCAACACACTGGTATTAACTTTTTACATTTAGGAAATATGTGTTGACACCACAGTTTGAAGTCCTATGTATGATAATAATGATTAAATGTCAGTTTATGTGAAATGAACTAAAAGACTGAAAGTTCAAAGACTTGTACAAAAATGAACTGAAGCCCGAGAAGAAGGTCCCCTAGCTGATTCGCTCAGGGTTTAATGCTAATCATGCTAAGGCTTCTTGTCCCTACTTTCATGTTTGGGGAAATCAGTTTACGTCTATACTTAAAGGTACAAGTTCAGCTTACTCTCTGACTGACTTTATGCAGTTTTAAAACTGTAGTTGTTTTAACTATAAGTACAATGTTTTATCTTCCCACAAGTATTCTGTCATGCCTGTCCTCACCTTCCTATTTCTGTGAGAAACACTTTTCTGTAGCTCCCCTGCTCCTTCCTTTCCCAAAGTTCTGAGGAGCATCTCCTTCCAAAGGACACCTTGCATTGAAATCAGGATTGATATATAGATGCCTTGATCAGGGCTAAGCACTTGGCAGTCTCTTGTTCTCTGCATGTTGGCCAGTTGTGGGTCTCCGTGTTAATCTTTTTCATGAGGAAGCTATTCTGGGGAGAGTTGAGTGATCATTAATCTATGGGTATAAGCCATTAGAAGTTGGTTTCATATTATGTCCATTTAGCAGAGTAATAGTAGGAGGTTCTCCCCTCTGCCCTGTGATCTGTCTAGCCACAGGTTCCTAGACCTGATATCAGTGTCAGGTATGAGCAACATCTTATGAAGCAGACCTTAAATACCATCAGAAAGTGTTTGGTTACTCCCATAACATTTGTGCTACTACTGCAACACTGGGCATTATGCCTGACCCTGAATAAGATACTAATATTAAATCTCTATCTCCCAAGTTTCAGGGATCATTGTGGAAAATGGGGCAGGTAAAATTATAAAAGCCAGAGACGGCAGATGACACAAACAATTTCTAGTTAGCTGCTCAGTTACTCATATGAACTCACAGCAATAGTAACAGCATGCACAAAACTCATGTAAGCTCAAGCAAGACAAACCTCAGCACAGAAGTAGAGAAGTGGGGAAGAAACTAGCTGGAGAACTATTGGCAATGGACAGCTGCTGGAGAGTCAGTTTTCTTTAAAGGTGTGATGATGTGTAAGTCAACCAGGCTCCAGTGTTTGGACCTACACCAAAGGGCATTTGGGGACACAAATTTGATTCGATAGGTCTTATAATATATTTATGTAAAATATAAATATATATTTATAAATAGAGTAAATGAAATCTGGCAGAGGCAGTAAGGGAATTGAGATTGCAGATAAGGGAGGTGTTTAAATATGATGAAAATATATTGAATGACATTTATAAAAATCCAGTAATTAAAAAAAAATAGGATTGCATTTGGAGGTAATACTCCAAAATGCAGCTGGGCAATCAGAGAGTTTATATTTTCGATTAGAAAAGATGCTGACACAATAAAATGGCAGCATACTTTTATTGCCATTTATGTTTTAGTCTTTTTTTTTACTACTCTCTACAAAATCCTAAATTATAATAGCTGAATAAGTAGAAACTAATGCATCTCACTTTCATACCATCATTAAGTATAAAAATCACAAATTGAACCCCTGAAATTCAGGGACTATATGTTGTAACCATAGGCATGTTTAATTTCATGTCTCTTATAGACAGTCCTGTCCAGGGTATAAACCCAGCTTTGAGCAACATCAAGCATGAATTAATTTAATACAAACATTCACAGAATATGCATATTGCTGGTGTATAGACAAAAAAAAGCTTCCATGTAGTATCCATATTTTCATTACAACTATTTATCATTAAAAAGTCTTTGCCAACTCTGACATGAATGATAGGAAACACAGGTGGGTGACACACACTGTCTCACAAAGCAGCATTACAACAGTGGGCATGGCCCAGGGGAAGGTGGAGGTTCTTAATATTATTTCTCAAGAAGATGCTACCAGCTAAGTGTCCAGAGTCTTCTGGGTAATAAAGGTCTCTTTTTAATAAAATTAATTTGTAAATAACTGTATTAGAACACCAACAATGGAAAACAATAATGCGTCTGTTACAATGGTGACACAAAAACCAGTGACAAGATGGAAGGTCTGTGAGGATGAGGTACAGCAGGAACTTTTGCTCAAGGTTGGGTAATATAAAATGTGATCAAAGTGGTTGCTTTGAAATGCAGCTTGACAATTTCTTACAGAACTGTATGCTACTGATATTTGATCTAGTCATCATATTCCTTGGGTACATAACTTAAAGAACTGGAAACAGATGCATAAAAGTTTGAAGATAAATATTTTCAGTATTTTGTTAGACAGTTCTCAACCACAGAAATAACCAAACACTTGGAGTAGGTGGATGGATAAACTGTGAATCATTAGAAATGAACTACAATGCACAAAACCCCTTGCTAAGTGAAAGAAGCTGATCTGAAACATCTAATGTGGTATTATTCAAATTCCCCAGACTATCAGCAAAGAAAGGTGAATAATGGGAGCACAGGGAATTTTTAGAACAACAAACCTTCTCTGTTTGATGCAGTAGTGATAGAAATATGTCATTACACAGTTATCAAAACCTATAGAGTACAAAACACAAGCAGTGAAACCCTATGTAACTATGGATTTTAGTTTTTAAGATGGTATCAGTATTGGGTCATAAATTATAATAAGTTACTACACAAATGCAGAATGTTAATAATAGATGAAACTTTATGTTGGGGAGTATACACTGAAAATCTCAGTACTTTCAAATGAATTTTTCTACAAACTTACTATCATAAATAAAAGATAGTTTGAATAAGAAAGATTAAAAAAAAAAAAAAAGTAGGAGCTGGAGAGATGGCTCAGCAGTTAAGAACACTTTTTGTTCTAGAGGACCAGGGTTGGTTCCCAGCACCTACATAATAGCTAACAGTCATCTGTAACACCCCCTCTTCTGGCCTCTGTGGACATTGCATGCATGTAGTGTATTTACATACATTCAGCAAAGCACTCATACACATAAAAATAATAAATAAAATAGTTTTTTATTTTAAAAAAAGCAATAGGAAACTCAAAGAATCTGGAAAATAAAAAATACCAAAACAAGATGAAAATACAGGCAAGATAGAACAACTTCTAGAATTGTGATGAGAACATTTTCTTCATTCTTTCATGATAATACCATGGGGCACTTCAGTTGTTAGTTATTGTTCCTGAGGTGGAACCAGTGAAAACAATTGAATAAGGCACAGAAACACACACACACACACACACACACACACACACACACACACACACACACACTCAGTGTCCAGTCCCCATGAGTCTGAAGCACATCATCCTACAGAACTTAGTCAGAGTTTGAGCTAGGTGCCAAATCGTTGAGAACTTTATCTTGTTTTTTTAAATGACCAGTAAGATAACCAAATCAAGAATCCCCTAGAGTAAACCAAATGTTGAGGTGAGTCTGAATATGGAGCATTTTCCTGACTTGGGACAAATTTTGTCCCCTGTAATCTTTCTTGGAGCCCTAAGACAAGAAGAAGTCTTTTCAGCATTAAGATGTATCCATGGCTCCTCTAAAGAAGGGCTATGTTATCATAGCCATGATAGACAGAAATGAATATTGAAATTTTTTGAGACAAGATCAGGAGTGCCAGGCAACATTTAGGTAAAACTAACTTCACAGGAAAACGTTAGGACCCCAGTATTTTTGTTGTAGTTGTTGTTTGTTTGTTTAATTAACTCCAGTAAATCAAGACTCCAATGACGCAAAATATCTACTGTTCCTCATCAGTGTGGTGCCACACAATGGTTTACAGACGTACTAAGGTTCAATCAGGGCAGACCTAGAGCTACGCAGCGGCCTGAGCTTTGACTAGCCTTGTCAGTGTCATGTGGGACTATTATCACAATCTTTGCTAATGCTTACTCCGTTCTAAAGTGGCCAGATTGGTGCTTCACCATGTCACCCTGTTCCAAATGTGAGGAAAATATTTGCTGAGTGGTGATTTATGAACATAGTTCACATAAAAGACAGAAATTACACACTGGTAATCTACAAACAAACTCAAAGTGTGTTTAATATTTCACATAATAACTTCTGTTTTTATAACACAATTTCTTTAATTTTTGAAGATTATAAAACCAAAGAGAGGAATCAGCTATTACCCTATGATGAATACTGCGCTCTTCTCAGGATAGGGTCCGTATTTGCACACAACCCTTCCACCAATTCTGGACTCAGCAATTCTTGAAGTGGCTTTAACAGATCTAAGGAGAAAGAAAATATGTAAGTAACCTTGGAAACCTTCAGCTGGCATTGACACTGTTGTACATTTGTTAAGATTCTCTTTTTGCCATTACATGAAATGTCTACATATCTTCCACCAAGCTGTCTTGTACAAAATTTAGCATCTGAAGAACACTTAAAAGGGCCATTCCTTTCTTTATTCATTATGATATGCCATCCCTTAACCACCTTTGAGCAAATGCTGTCTTTAACCTGCTACTACTAACTTAAACTATTTTCCACAATTATTGTCTTACTTTTCCCATACAAATTTTATTCTGTGAACTGACTGATAGTATCTGGAGTTCCTTCAGAAGAATTGCCAGGCTCTCATAGTCCTTATCTGTGGCTTTCCTAAGACTGTTCTGTGGCTTTATTCTACTGCAAGATAAACTAATTTTGGTCCCTAAAATCTCCGATACCTCGTTTTTGTTTTTTTTCTGAACTAAAAAATTTCTACCAGAGTCCAAAGTATTCCATCAAGTCTGTACTAATGCTGACCTGAGCAAGTAGAGAAGTGTTTTCCACCAGCATGTTCTACAAGGTAGCCTTCTTTCAAAGCTCCAGGCAGCCCTTTATGGAACTAGCAAAGAAAATAAGCTGACTTTGGCAGGCAATCATAGACTGCTCTAATTTGATGTATCCATTTGCCACAGACTTTCCTTGGCAAGCCTCTTAAGCCATGTGAAAATAGACAACATTGCTTTGTGAACCTCCTTAGCAGTTCTATCTAAACCCACCCTCACAGTCCTAAACCTTTATATGCCATAGAAGATATGCTTTAAGAATGACTTTCAGTGGAACATCTAATTTTAGAGCTCTTTAATCTTATACTTGTTATTCCTACATCATCCACAGTATTGTGTGAAGGCAAAGCCATGCGTAAAACAGGAGAGAATAGGAAGCCCAGGCTGTTTCCTGCTCTAAAACATGTACCTGCTGGTAAGGGCTCACAATCAAAGATATGAGTTTCATGGCCCTTCTACTTCTAAGAACAAGTTTGTTCACCTTTGGGATTCTCAAGAGAGAAAACAGTGAAGACTAGGAAATGTGGAGCTAAGAAATCCCTCAAGGAGAGGCGTGCAGTAGCAGGCTTTCTAATGGTATGTTTTCCATTAATAATCACATTTCTTTTAATATGGGAAATATCTTGGCTTATATGAATCTAATTAGCTATCCATAAGAACAATATAGATAAATCCTAAAACCTTCAAGTAGAACAAAATAAGCCAGACACTTTTTTTAAAAGAGCATTCACTATTGCTGTCTTTTCTGAAGTTCTAGGAAAGGTAAAAATCAGCTAAATGATAAACGTAACAAGGGCTACAAGATCTTAACCAGAATGCATCTTTGAGGGACTGCTGTAACCATGGAACAATTCCGCACCTTGAACGGGTTACTGATAATACAGGTGCACGAACTAACATGAAAATAAACCTTACTGAACAATGTTTAAAACCAGTACATTTTATCGTAATTAACTTATACCTTAATTAAGAAATAGTGAGTTTCAAATAATTTTAATCTTTAGAACAACTTTGAATCAGGGAGTCTGTAAGATTGGGCCATTTATTCTTTTCATGGTCAGTGAAATGAATTCTTCATCCCTTCATTTATTCTTCTACTTAGAAATGTTTCTGAAAGAAATATATAATCCAGAATTGTCAGATTGGAGGTATGCTAGAGAAAGTGGTGGTTAACAAAACAGAAGTAGACCCACTCTACAGAGCTTAGCTTATTAGGGAAATCAGATAATTAAGCAAAAAAATAAAATGAGGAACTATAGCGATATTATTGGGAGAAGACCCATGCTTAACCAAGGGCCTGTACCAAAAGAGAATAAACTATTTTATACTAATCCCCAAGATAATCTGAGCAGAAAATATTGGTGTGTGCTATTAGTAAACATGACAGAGTGTTAAGACTAATGTAAATCAAAATATTTTCCTATTAAACTCAGTCTGCATTTTCTCAAATTTGAATAAATGAAAATATCTAATATTTTTAGGCCAAATTTTGTTTGGTCATTGGAGATCCTTTATTGTTGCTGTTGTTTTCTTAAACAGAATTCAGGTCTTTTATGCTCTCAGGCATAAGTTCATATACCGCTGTCCAGGAGGATAAAATGATGTTAATTGACCTTCATTCCCCAGAGCAAAGCCCAGCTGGGAGGACATGTGCATCGACCTCTGTTAATATCGCTGTCAGTTGGGGCTCTGTAGGCTCTCTTAAGAACCAGCATTATGCATACTCTTGACAAATCAAAACTGTGACAAACAGCATTTGACTTAACGACAAAGCATATCAACCAATAGACTAATATTCAGACATCAAATGCTTTTTGGTAAATGTTTCTCTCACCACTAAATACCCCCAACACTTCCAGATTAAAGCCCTTTGTGGATGACTCCCCTTTTTAAAGAAAATGAGAAATTTCCATTTAGGTTTGAGTAAGAAGGCTGTGATAGATAATAAGTGTTCCACATTAGTCAGCTAATGCCCACTACATTGCCCTCTCACTCATCTCTTCTTGTCTTCCCAGATTCTGGCCAGACAACATGGGGTTTGTCCAACATTCTATTGGTAGTTTAGAAATGAGCACTCGAGGTGCTGGAGAGATGGCTCCGCTGGTAAAACTGTTTTCCACTTTTACAGAGGATCAGCACAGACATCGCATGGCTCACAACCAATTATAACTCCAGCTCCAGAGGATCTGACACCTTCTTTTGGCTTCCACAGGCATACACACACACACACACACACACACACACACACACACACACACACAAACACCACATGAGTAAAAGTGAATGCATCTCAAAATAAAATAAAATGGCCACTTGAACCTCAACTGTCTGGGAATCTAGACAATGGTTTGTAGTACAAGAGCCACTGTAACACTTTACTGTGTCACCCTGGTCAGTGGCAAACCAAAAAGAATCCCTGTTTCTTATTAGGGATTATTATTTCTGTTTGTATAGGTTTCACTTATTTATTTATTTATTTATTTA